AGTTATATGGTGATTGATTTCTTGTATAATTTGTATTGTTCGGGAGTGGTTTTCCTGAACTGTTGTTGCTGTAGACTGTTTTGTTCGGTAGATTTTGATCTTTTTTCATGTATTGATAGAATGATTTATTTAGTTCTTTATATTTTTGAGGTTTATTTTGATTGTCTTGCTGTTTTTGTCTACATTCGGAAATACTATGTCCGTATCGTCGGCAATAATTACACCATTTTTTGAAAGATGGTTTGCCTTTAAAGTTTGGGTTCTTTTCGTAAATATTGAGTATTTCAGTGATTTTTTCAACGAGGTCTGTCTCTGATTCCTGTATATTATTAATATTAGTGGGAGTCGTTTCAATTCTGTTAACGTATTGTAATTTCAGATTTTCCGTTTCTTCTAGTTTCATCGTGATTTCTGCTTGTTCTAATTTGTCTACTAGTTTTCGAAAATCTAAATCGGGTTCTCGAATTGAAGAAGGATGGGATGCTCTCTTTTTTATTGCTATTTTCCTTAATTGTGGTGTTAAGGTCATCATTAAGATTTCTGTCATCTTTGTGTTTTTATAGTCGTGTGTATTTAGTGAATATGCTTTTCGAACTAGTGTTTCGATTCGTACTGCTATTTGCTTGATGGTTTCGTTTGGTAATCTGCGAATTTCATTACATAAAACTCTTTGTTGTTGTTTGTTTCTTTCGGAGTCAAACATTTTTGAAAATTCCTGTGTAAACCTTTTCCAGTTTGATTTTATTTCTAGAGGTAGTACTGAAAACCATTTTTGGGCTGCGCCATCTAAGGTTGTTTGTATTAACGCTGTGCGTCGATGTATCCAGTTTTGATGTAGTGGCGTATTAATTGGTTCAGGTCCAATATTTAAAATCAGGTTTGCTGTTACTGCATTTAAATAATCTTCTACAGAGTATTCAGGGTCTGTTCCTGTGAAAACCATTAAAGGTTTGTTTGATGTTATTGATGATCCACCCATAAGGTATGGATTCATTGTCATTTGTAATGATTCTGCTGCATTTGGCATTTGAGAAAAATTTGAAAGTTGGTTTCTTGTTATTTCATGTTGTTGGAGATAATATGGGAGTGGTATTTCATTTTGCATTTGTGATGGTTGATACGAGTGTGTAGTCATTGGATTTTGTTGTTGAATTGGTTGGAAAGATTGTGTATTAATTAGATTTTGTTGTTGAATTGGTTGTTGATGTTGTGCATCTATTGGTTGTGGAGAAAAATTTCTATGATTTGTACGTGTTTTCTGTATTCCTTGTCTACGATATTCTTGAGTATTTGGTGCAAATATATCTGGTTGTAAGAAATCATCATCTGAGGATAAATAATCCATTTGATAAGATGTCTGTTTTTTATTTTTATTTTGTTGAAAAAATGGGTAATTTTCACTGTGATCCTGTGGAGGGTTTGTTTGGAAATTTATTGAATTAGGTTGGGTCATTGGGTTATCCCAATTTCGAGATCTTGTATATTGGTTAAAATTTCTTTGTGGTTGATTATATGTTTTTGATGGATGTGTATAATTATAATTATGGTCTGCAAAGTTGTTTCTAGTGAATGTTTTGCGTGTTTTTGATGGTATTGTCATGGGTCTGTATGTTTGGTAATCCATATGTGAATATTTAGGGGCAACCGAAGGTTTAACGGTTGATTGTAAGGTTACCTGTGTTTGTGAAGGATTTGTATTTCTTGGTGTTGTTAAATTTGGGCGTATTGGTGAAATACTTTGTTGTGTAGTTGTTGTGTGTACAATTTCTTCATTTATGAAGTGTGATGGTGTCTGGATATCTTGTTGAGTAAGATTCCTAGTTCCATTGAGGTTTTCATTGTGTATGACTGTAGAGTTTAAACTATTATTTTGTGTATCGGGCAAAAATGTATTATAGTTTAATGGTGTTGCATCAATGGTGAATGGTATTACTTTTACATAATCTCTTATGTAAGATATCGTACTTATTGCTTGACTTGAGATTGATTGTGGGAAGCTTATAAATGCGGGATGAGACCATTCGGGGTCCCAAACATAATCTGATTGTTCTGTGATAGCGGTATCATCGTTCGAGTTTTGGGGTCTAAAATTTTTTCTTGCTTGTGCAATTAAATCAATATTGTGTGTGAAATAATCTATTATGAACCATGCCAAAATTTTTTGTAGATCGTGTTTTGTATGTTGTGAAACGTCGTCTTTCGTGAAATTTTCTTTAATGATGTTTAAATAACTAGAGAGTAGTGTTATTTCATGTCGTACTCTTAAATGTTTAGATGTTTCTGTCGGTGAGACATTTGTTATTGGGATTTCGTTTTCTAATATCGAAATATAACTATATATTATTGCGAAAACTTCATTGGTGAATATGGAGTTTGCTCTTTGTGAGTTATGATATTGGATGCTTTTTATATATTCTGAAAAAACTTTTGAAAATTCTAAATCAAGATCGTCTGTTTGGATTGTATATTTTCTATGATTATGGTTTGGTGAGGTGAATTCTATGGAGTAGATTCCATACTGTTGTGTTATGTTGCATATATCTTTTAAGTAGTGGTCTATGATTTGTCTTTTGATTTTTACATCTGGGAACTCTGTTTTACATGGACTGATTCCGGGTTCAAATAAATTTAATAGTAAATTTTTGCAAAATATATGCTGTCCTCTATCAGTGGTTGCATCTACTATAAAAGGAAAGATTTCATCATCATCTGGGGTTTCGTCACCTGGGGTGTGCGTTGAGCTCATTTTTTCGTTCGATGACTGTTAATATGTAATTATTAATGTGTCGAATTGGTTGATTCCAATTGTATAAATGTACTGGTTTGTGTTTATACTGCTTTTTTATTCTTCTTTTTCCTCTTTTTGATGAATTTGAAGTTGTTTCTGAGTCAGAAAAATATAATTGATCGTGAAGTGGGCAATTTTTATCTATTGATTCTTTTAGTTTGTAAAGTTCGTCTAAACTGTTGGTTTCTGATTCTGAAAATGCGTTTCGATTTTTTGAAAATCTTTTTCGTGTTATTTGTCTTTGTTTCGTTATTATTTTTCTTTTTAGTGTTTGTCGTTTTGTTCGAATGTATCCAACTGTTTGTGTATGAGGTGTGATTACAAGGTCGTATTTTTTGTTATCTATTTCACAATTGTGTAAAACGATTGTTTGTTTATTTCCTAGGTTTTTAAATGACATAAGGTTTAGGATGACGGATGCAAAAGGTTGTTAAATGATTTCTATTTTCCTAAACTGTTAGTTCTTACGATTTTTTGGTTAGCTTAACCTGGGTCTATTTGTTCAGGGTTGGAGAGAAAAGTATATCGATTCCGAAGAATGATTTTTTACTTTCTCGTGGCTAGTATAAGCTAAGGTGTTAACTTACTTAATCTTACTTAGGGGTAGTGATTGTGTTCAAGGGTTGGAGAATAGTAAATCGATCCACAAGGTTCAGGTATAATTAGAACGCGAGTAGTTCGTTAGATACTATTTTAAACTTACTACGTCTAAGATTTATCCTGGGTCTGGTAAGAGGGGGGGTCAAGTGAAGGATGAATAACCGAAGTTCTTCACTGTTTATCCTAATTTGAATGATTAGTTTTGTTTAAAAATTTCTATTAGTCTTAGGTCTTTAGAAAGGGTTGGGTAGTGAATCGACGTTTGAGGTCGTTAGACACTAATTAAGTGGGTGGGGGAGAACAAAGTTGTTCTGTTTGATCCAAGGATAAGCCTTGATGATCAAATTTGAAATTTAATTAAGTAGAAAATGATTTAAGATCCAAGGATAAGCCTTGATGATCTGGTTTTAAAATTAAGTGAGTTTAAGTTTTAATAAAATTTTAAATGTGTGTAAAGGAAAGATTTAGTGTTTTGATGATATTAGTGAGCTTATGATTGCTGTTATGTTTTAGGTGATGGAGCTGGAACAACAGGATGATTTATGATTACTAACCATTTATTGTCGTGCTACTAATTTTTATTTTTTATTTTTCAATAAATATTTTTCAAACATGTTTTGTATATTACTGCAGAGTTTTAGGAAAACGATCTTAGATCTTTTTATCAATTGTTATTGTATATTAATAATTTTGTTTAGCGCCTGAAATGATTTTGAAGATTAACTTCAAGGTTTTATGTTTGCAAATGAAAATCTAAATTCATTGCCAGTAGTATTCTAAATATAAAAGTTTGTTCTGGTTTTTGCCTAACTATCATATAGCTATATGGCAAGTTTCTACTTTGTCGTATGTCGTCTCTGGTTCGAGGTCTTCTTCCAATTCCGGGTAGTTCTGTTATGGTTCGGAATATTGGCTCTGATCTATTGAGTCGTAGAGACATTTCGATTAAATTATTGTCGTATAACATTTTGTAAATGTTTTTGTCTAATTTCTAATCTATTTTGGTTAATTCTAAGCTATTAAGGTCTTGTTCGAGACTTATGGTCGCACCAGATGAGTTATGACTGGTTTGTATAACTCATAGAGTAATTTCGGATAGGGTACACCGTCTGCTCGTCACGCTATCTTATTTTCGGCCGGATAGATTCGTGCAACTTCTTAGTCTAATACCGATCCTAATCTTACTCTTATACTATCTAGTCTCAGGTTGTTTAACTAGTCTCTGCTAGGCTCAATAGATCTAGGGTATACTGGTTTATTGCGGCTGCTGAAGTGCTCGGGAGAGTCCAACTAATTTCTAAGTTAAATTCAAATCTCTCTGGTGCTGAAATTACAAGTAACTTCAGCACTTACAAATAAGTGGGTTGTTAGTTAGATGGATCATGATTGGTTAATATTAAATACTTTACATTGGTAAAATATCTAATTTATCCAATCATAAAATGTAGTTTAGATCAGGTTCCAAAATGACGATTATTGTCCATAGTTATGAGAAATTTCTGGATAGCTTTATGGACCAATTCTCAAGTGATACTTATAAGTTTTATAAATTTTGAAAGAAGACATTGAAAATAGAAGACATTGAAATAACTTCAACTGTTAAACTGTTTACCATGTGCCCATTTTTTAGAGCCCGAGCTAAGAACTTGTGAGTCGGGTTTGGAGTTTCGCCGACCAGCCACTCGGAAAACTCGCTCATTTTTTCACCAAACGTATTCGATAAGGTCTGCAGCAATACTTCGGGTCTCAACAGAAAAAGAAGTTGGTCTATGTTTGGATCAATCAAATTTGAGGTTCCTGCAGCAGATTTTGACACAATCATTTTTGCTACACCTAAATTTTTTCTTTGAAAAAAAAAATAGAAACTAAAATTGGACTTATGATAATCATATTTGCTCGTAAATCATATCTAAACAAATTGCGTATTCAAAAGAAAATCAAAGCGTGATAACTTTCACGGTGTTCCGAAATCAGCTTCTAATTTTTTTTGCGACTCGCGCTATAATTTTCAATTTGCCAACTGTTTTCGTTCAACCGAGATTTCAATGTTAACTTGAAATAAGAGCTTAAAGTTTGATTGATGCCTAAATTGTTCTTCGGAATAACATCTTCAGTTGTTTCGCCACAAATTCTTTGGATCATGTTTCGACCAAAAGTAATAAAATTAGGCAATCCAGAGTCTATTGATATCCCGGCACCAGCAAAAAATGTCAACTTTTCTGAACTATTTTCATGGATTGATTTCTCCAAGAATTCAGAAACGTTAAAGGGCGCGCCAGGGTCCATTTTGGAGTGATTTGATAAGATCTTGTTAGATGGACGAGAACGAAATGAGAGCTTTTGTTTATAAATTTTATTTACCGCAATATCTATCTCAATGAATAAATAGGTATATGCACATTTAGTTTGGCCAAGCTACTAGTTAATTTGAATCAAAAGCTCTGATATATTAAATTATCGCGAGGTAACTTGATAATGGCAAACGTACTAACAACTTCATTTTATGAAAACCATTTGATGAACGACTAGAAAGTTAATTCAATGTTATTTTTATATTATTGATGAATAACAGCGATGTATTTTTTTAAAATACACCATTGAAACTCGAGCACGTTCTCATTTTTGGTACAATTTTGTACATGCTTACGTCATATAGCGGGAGCTGTATTGTACCTTTTTAGCGCACGTGAAAAAAAGCACTTTCTACCTGATAAATATCCAGCTAAGAGGCGGTAGTTTTTATGTTTATCGTAAATTTTCACTTTTTTCTTGGTTACAAAGAAATGAGGTGCGTCTAGACAAACATACATGGACTAAAAGATAGAATAGTTCCCCAAATCGATTGAAACAGTACCCGTGATGATTCAATCTGATTTTTTATTGAAGTTAGTATAACTTTGAAGTTATTAGACCAGGTGGAAAAAGTTAAAATGTTTTACGTTCATTACTTATATCACGTCTAATATATTGGAAAAACCTTTATAAGGTATTGTAAAAAAAGCATCTAACCATCCATCAGAAAGTTAAAAAATATATGAGAAGACAAACATTCACGGGAAATAGAACTTTTTTTTGGATCAACCCTTTATAGACGTCTCCTTCAAAAATGCTGACTCTAGCAATTTGATCCCAAAGTAATTGCCCCTTTCTACGGGACGCTAAGTTGGGGGCAGGGGCCTGACAGTCCTTTAGGCATTGCGCTTAGCGAAAAAAAAATCGATCAAAATTGAGAATTGACATTTTTATCAAATAGAATGGCAAGTGATTTGTAATGAAAATGATTTCAAGCTTTGAAATTTTGCAAAAACTCAATTTCAGTTTTGTACCGACTTGAGATGTCTGGAAAATCAGGCAATTTGGCAAAGTTGGTTTTTGATTATTTGGAAACCCTTTTCAAGTTCATTTGTAGTCTAAGCTGTTTTGAAATTTGAGTTTCAATTTCAAGGTCAAGTGATAAGCAAAGTCATTTATGTTGGAAATTCGTGCAGCAAAAATTTTTGCTGGTTTTTTCATTTTAACCGATGCTTTGTTTTTGCTTTGATCAATTAACCGCTTTATTTTCAGTTCTAATGTTCTTTGTTATTTTGTATGGTATCTTATGTCGTTGGCGATTTTAGAACGAGGTATTTTTGGAGTGGTATCTTACTGATTGGGATCTTCTCGTTTGGTACCTTAAGACTGGTGATCTCTTGTCATGTAACGGTTCGTACTACTCTATTACTCCTACATAATTTTCTAGTCAATCCTATCACTAAAACTTGCTCTGGATGTTTTAAAACTTTTTCCTTTTTGTTTTTGTTATATATTTTATTGATTTTTATTATACTAAAGATTTTCGCGTTTTCAATTTTTTTTACCTATGAATAAAAAAAGCTCCATGTATAATTTTGGCATGGAAGCAAAGATTCTGGCGCTTCAACTGCCTGCTCGAGGAAATTACCATAAATGTCACCATAGCTAAAAACATTATTAGAAAAAATTTGCATCTTCTGAGACAGATTCAGATAGATAACAAGTAAAAATGTAAAAGTGCTTTTTTGCTGCAAGTAGGAGTATTTTGAATCAATGGATTCACTTCAAACCAAATTGGGATGTTAATCAGTGCAAAATTCATAAAAGTGGAAGAAATTTGAATAAAATCAGCTGAATTTGCCGACTGATTTGATCTTTTGAAGGAAAAATATTTCAGATTCAAAATTTATAATAACTTCCTTCTATTTGCAGCTAAGACCTAAATTCAACGACGTTTAAACACATTTTTGCACCAAAAATTGAAAAAATTTTGGTTTTTCCTGTTACTGAAACACTTGTTTTATCTTTTGATTGATTTAGAATGTAACTGTAAGCTGAATTGTTTTAGGGTACATTGGAAATTTAAGAAGACAAAACGCGCGTAATTTTGACGCGAGCTTCCCTCTTGTTTAGTATATTGGCACTAAAGGCACCTTTGGACAACTTTAAGACTGGTTGATCAAAATGGGTTTTGTAAAATGACATCCGGAACCTTTTGATTGTTAGGGTTACAAATCTCAGATCTGGTGGGCTTTCACTCTTAGAGATCTGCTGCTCACCGAACCAACCAAACAACCGAACCGACCAATTCGTTAACGAACCGAACCGAAGATGAATTCAATGAACTCCATTTCTCAGTTCGCTGTTTGGGAGACAATTTAAATGATTTGTGATTAGACTATACTGCAAGTTCCAGCACGTTATCATAAACTGAATATCAGGCGCCGTCGCAATCTTGTCTCATTTGCATTTTTTGCCATTATTGGGAATATTGCCAAGGTTTATAACAACAAATCTTCTGAAATTCGAGTTTCCGAAAAAAATGTTTATTGACTGACCCAAACAGAGAACCGAACCAAACATTTAATAACCGAACCGAACCGTGCTGACATTGAAAAATAGAAAACCACTGACCCCCCTACTCACCACCTCTACCTAAATCCGCCTCTGGCTGTTTTTGGGCAATATTGTGATAACTCTAGCTACTCTCCAACGAAGAGTACAAAACACGTGAACAAGTCAAGTGAAAATAATGGATGTTTCCAGTAAATACACGTGAAAGTTTTTAAGAAAGCAAACTTGAACTTTCAAAGTGGGAGGGGATATGCACCGACTCATTTATGCTGGGCGGTGAACTGTAAAATTAGAGCGGATTGAATAAAAAGGGTGGAAAAATTTATGTTAATAGGAACGCCTTGATTTTGCATTAAAATCTCTTTTCAAACCATCCTTTTAACTGCAAATGGCGTTAACCAAAGCACGAGAGGCTGGGAAAAAGGACTCTGCTTATTATGGGGGGAGGGGGGATTTTTTTTGTTAATGTTCATCGAAAATCGGAAGCTTCTTAAATTGCTGTCAAAATATTTTGAATTGATTTTTTATCAGACGTCATAAACGTAATAAAGCCTTCACGACCTTTATAAAGTGCTTTTGCTCCACAGAAGTTTATGTTTTTTAAGCTGAACTCAGTCAATCAGTTCATCTTTTATTGGAATACTAGCGGCGGACATTGTTAGTAACTTGTTAGCAACTTCTTTCATTCTCTAATATATTGACCGATTTTACAGTTCGATTGAAGGGTTCATTTCTGATGAAATTTTGAAAGCTTAGAAAATCTTTTCTGGAGAGTGATTAAAAAATGATGTGAAGCAGATAGTGTTTCTTTTTCAAAATTTTACCTTTTGTTAGTACTGTTTAGGGAACGTAATACGTCTCAGTATATCTGGTATTAAAAAGCTTCTTATAACTTCCTAATTTGTTAAGATTTAAGGCAGGTTATTTATTTCCCTTGCTTTGAGGCAGTAAACCCCTGTGAGCTTTTTATTTATCTGTTTCCCTCTTCTCCATACAGGATTCTAATCTTGCTAACTTTGATTTATTGTAGATGCCAAAACACCCACGCAGCGAAGTGGATTTTAAATCAATTTTTTTACTCTGTTTTTCTACCATTTTCAGAGGTAATTAAAAAGAAAACGCCTTCAAATCAGCGTGAGTTTTCTTGTATTTTTCTCTTTATTAAGCGCAAAGTAAACCATGCGAAAGCCTTTGTCCTGAACAAAAAAGTTTCGAGTTTTTATAATGATAATGCTTTTAGAATGCTCATAGTTTGAGATAAAATGAACCGTAATGAACCAAGTATATAATAATATTTACCCCAAATCATTTGACTAAAAATGGAAAAAAAATAGAATTCGCCAATAAAGCACAACGTTTTTTTGTTATGTGTAATTATTTCCAATAGATTATATTATTCAAACAACAAGACGAAAAGTGGTAAGAAAAACATCATTTGCATTTCAAACAAGTGCTGTTGGCTTAAATTCTCCAATCAGCTTAAAGCGCCTTCTGCCTTTTTATTATTTCTTTTTCTTTTCATCCGGAGACACTTTGAAATAATTGGGCTTAGATTGTCGCAAAATCGAATTTGTCCGAATTTCCCCCTCATACCATTTTCATCTCTTTGATTTTATCTTAGATGTCGATAATGTGCAATGAGATCCAGTAGCGTTGGCGTTTATCCCCAATGTTTTTTTTGCCTTTGCTGGAGATAAATATCCCCTTCTTCAAGGGTATAAGTTGAGCAAATAATCGAAGACCCATTTTCAGTTCACATTTTCAAGCCAACCTTCCTTGTGAAGTGACGCTGAAAACACACATTATTACAGCTTTCCCGTTTTCTCCGCCAATTTGAAGCTCCCTGGTTTAAAATTTCCTTGAAATCTTAAATCAGATCCGATCCAATTGCCATATTAGCAATTATTAAGTGTAGGTTTTCCCAAGATTTCTTTTCTTTTGACGAGTTAGATGAGGTTGATTTTGAGCATTTCCTCAACTTCCTCAATTTGTACCAATTAAGCCAACTTGATATTTTACTTATTTTGTGGAATTTCAAAACGGAAAAGAAAAAAATACGAAATAATCAAATTCAAATATAGACGCACGCGCCATCTACAAATTGAGTTATTCAAATCATTTTGTCTTGTACAATTATTATTAGCTTCAACCGAGTTTTAGTTCATTTGCCAATACATTTCTGGGGTCTCTCTTGATTATTTGAAGAAACAATTGTTCATAGATCATTCTTTCTTTGAAAGCAATTTTTTCTTCATGTTCAACATCCGGATCCCAGGAGAGCTTTGAAAAGACTCTGAAACACCAAACATTATTCGACAACAAAAACTATCGGAATTGTAGCCTGAATTGAAACTTTAGAATTAATCAATTGTTTCATTTGAAGTGATCACTCTAAGCAGTTGTAGTAAGAGTTTAAAAATTAATGAATTTGAGCACCCACAAAGTAGTAAATTTCATCTTTACTTGACAGTCGATAACTTCAGAATCAGCCAATTAGAAAGTGAAGATGCTGACTTCGTCTAACTCAGTGGGCGGTGCAGATGTGGGAAGGTCGGGAGAATCCATGTCCATAGACCTTGTCCATAGACTATTCAGCAGATTTGTCATTTATTTCATGGTCGTGGTCATTTGTGTGGGCCTCATTTATATATTGATCTGGAGTATCAAACATCATATCTGGGACAGATTGGTCAATGAAGAAGAGCTCAAACGTCAGTATCTTTTTACGTGCAACACATTTCAACACAGTTTGGGCCGGTTGA